TCAGTAACCATCTGCAGAGTGAGTCCTGGGACTCGTCTTGGCCTCTGCACAGAGACTTCTCTGCTTTTCTTTCTTGATGATGAAGAAGACATGGATTATTCTTGTTTGATTTGTTATTGGCACAGAAAACAAATCTGCCCTGTAAGCCTTTGACATTGAGGAGGGCAGACCCCAAAGCAAGAGGTGAATGTGGAGAATTCATGAAGTGTTTTGGGTGAGCGCAACCTGCATGCATTAAAAGTGTAGGGTTTGGAATTCAATGTTGAATGCATGCATTAATGAATGACTATTGCTTGGCCTTAGGTACTTGAACTTTATTTCCACTCTGTCTCTCTCAAAGTACATGCATAATCTTTAGAGAAAATATGTAGAGGACAGAAGCATTTTCGAGAAACAGTGTATCCCCCTCCCAATCACCATAAATAGTGAATCAGTAATGCTAGGTCTGTGTTAGAAGATGGGCAATTCTGATTAGACTCCCACCTCCCCACCCTAGACGTAGTTAGAGACAGTTGCTTCCCCCAGAGAGAAGCATGGTCTATATCTGGACATGTTGACAGCTACCAACTATGCTGTCCATCGGGTACAGCTTAACAGAGTGCAGTAATGGGCTTATTTCTCCTCTCTTTGGAGGGGAGTATATGTGTTTGGGGAAGGGCAAAGATGAGGATGGGAAGGTGGCCAGCACATTGTTGCGTACGGAGAGGTGGAGATCAGCTTGCCTCTCCCCACTCTCACTCTCCTCTGTCTTAACAGTTGTAGGATTCCCATGTTCCCTAGCATCAGTGTCCTTAAAGACACATCAAACCATTATCGAGTGTGTATCCCCCTAGAGCCCACCAAGTAGAGGTGAGGCTATGACAAGAGTTTCCATGACACCCATGGGATGGGGCAGGGTAGTGAGGCGGAAAGAGTCATGATGAGGCAGGGCTAATGGGAAGCTTGTTGGATGTGCACTGTATTTCCCTGGAATGCAGGGGGTCAGAGCATGCATTTGGCCTGTAAGAGGGGGGCTCTGTGTGTCTCCTGGGCAGGCCACTTGGGATGGACATCAACACATCAACCACACACTGCATCAAGTTGATGTACGCACAGGAACATTTCTGCTGATCTTAGAGATAAACCTTCCAAGATGCTAATAGCCTAAGTGGCAGCTTCCTCTTCAGCCAAAATAAATGAAGAGTAGCCAGAGGGCAGAAAAGGGAACAGAGGGCAGGGGAGGATATGCGAGGTGGAGGGGCTGGTGGATAGCAGGCCGAGGTGAAACAACACCCCACATCAGTTTCCTGTTTGGGAAATTGTTCTCCTTCTGGGGCCAGACAAGGCTCTTAGGTATGGCTCCAGGAGAAGAGTGGGAGATGAAATGCAAGCAAGACAAAATGCCTGCAGCTTGGAGCAGGGGAGAGAGGAGAGAGGCTGAACAGAGGAAAATAGGTCTAGTTCCCAATGGAGCACAAGGCCCTCACGTTCACTTTTGTGGGACTGAGCTTCTGAGGCTGATTTCAGAGGAAGTGAGTCATTGAAGATCTGGTTATACCTTGAGCAAGTTCATCCTTCCATCCTCTTATGTCATCACTGCCTCTGATGCTCAGAGTTCCAAAACAAGGATGCAGAAGGACAGTGCTTTAGAATCCACCCGAACGTTTATTGGTTACTAGTTCCATGATATGATCTACCTATTGAATGAATGGATGGACGGATGGATCAGGTCCTGGTCAAATGAGATGAGCAGATACTGCATAGCAATGTCCCTTTTGCAGGGTTACAGAGCAAGGTAGCATATTAAAGGCTCTGAGAAGTGCTGTACTAAAGGAATTGGTTTAACAGATCATTCCTTAAACTTCCCTGACTGAAGGCAGTCCTGCTCTGCCCCCTGGATTAAACAATCTATGTAGCCTTACAGGTGACCTCCTTTTGCCCCCTATCTTTGAGTAACACCAATTAACATCTTGAGAGATTCTTGCATTCTATGGGACATGGTTTAGGAAACACTGGATTGAGATAATGTTTTGCCCATCATGAGTATGCAAACGGCATTACTCCCACAGCATTAGTGGGCTACAAAGTCTGAGTGGGGTTGACTTATGGCAATGCACTCATCCATCAGTCCTGCCTGGAATCCACAAAATCCCTTTGCAAGATGGTTTCCTGAGATAAGAATGCAGCTTGTGGCCACAGACAGAGGGTGAGATTAGCTTTGCATGAGGATACCATCCACAGCCAATTTTCTTAGCTTAGTACTTTAAGGCTCTGGCTGTCCTTTGATCCAAGTAAATTCTGGTATTGGCAGGTGGTAGTGGAAATGAGCTATGGTCCTTTTAAATGCTTAAAGGCCACTGACATTCAGCACCATATATATATATTTATACATATATATCCAAGAATCCTTCAAAGCTAGTATGTCTTAAAACTGCAAAAGGACTGAATGAGCCCCCAAACCTGTTTCCCATTTCTAAGTAGCAAATACCCCATAAATCTTCAGTGTTTTTTGACTTGGTTTCTAGAACAGTGGTTCCCCAACCTTACTGCGGATTAGAACCAAGCTTTTAAATTCTGACGGCTGTATTTCTTTCCATTCCAACTAAATCACAGTGCTGCAGGTGGGAGCATATGAATTTTTAAAAGATCCCTGGTAGTTCCAATATGCAGTAAAGTTGGAGGACTGCTGGTTTAAAAGCACTTTAGTTTCTGGACAGTTTATTATAACAGCCATAACCTCTGTGAGAGAAACAGGCAGAGATTCATCCTGATCTCCCAAGTGAAATAATGGAGGTCCTAAGACAGTAATGAACATGATCAAGGTAGCAAATTTGTGTCAGATTCCAGGTAAGTGTCACTCCTTGCCAGCCTATCAGATGAGATTCTGGAAATGGTGGGACAAGAGATGGGTTGGGGTGGGAGGAGCTGGGCTTGAAAACGAAGTGGATCGAACATAGGCCTTTGTGCCTGTAGAAGAAACAAGAAACCCACTTCAGTGTTATGTCTCCTGCCCCTCCCATCAATGCTGTTTCTGTCTGTAGACTGCTGGTTTGCATTTCATTTATGGGGAGACAAAATGGAACCTTTGTGCCAGAGTTGAAGGAAATTATAAAAGCCCACAGCTTGTCTTCAGACTTAATGTCAACTATTTGTCTCCTTTATTTTCAAACAAACAAGTCCTCCCCATGAGTTCTGAGGCCGTCTCAAACATTCCCTGCCTTGGGTTTCCCTGCCTGCATTAGCAGGCATGGCAAAAACGTACCATTCTACACAATTGTTCAGGAGCCACAGCAGGCTATTGTAGGTGGTCCCGCGAGATAAGGTGAGAAGTTTTGAGCAAGATGTTGGGTTATAACAAATGCACGTGGGCGTTGAGACAAATGGTTTGTTAAGAACTGAGCTTCTTTGAGGCTTCAGGGTTCATTAGCTAGAAACTGAGAAGCAAGGATGAAAGGCATTATCCCCCAATTCCCCAAATATCATGAATTCAAAACATTTTCCCATCATCTGGCCCGATGGATTAGTCCTATCATACATTTCCAAAAGTTCTGCAGATACGGGGGATAAGTCAAGAAATCTCTTCCATTGGAGCACTGGGGTTACAACCTTTACATCACTGGGGACTTGGGATGGGTGGCCCGCAATCCTGAGATCCAGGGTCTTAGAAGGAGATATAGAACTTTCTTTTTTTGTTGTTTATTATTACCTGAAGCTGTAGGCTAGAGGACTATGTGAACATTATTTCTTCTTTAACCTCAGAAAAATGATACTGTGAATTCTCCTAAAAATGTGTTGTCATGAAAGATTACCACTAAGACGGGACAGTAGGGACCCCATAAGGCCTGGATCTGAGCAGGTTTGACAAAAAGTAGCTTTCAAAAAAAAGAGTATGAATAAATGTCTAGGACGCTATCCTTTTTTAGGTGTGTTATAACAAAATGCTGACATTGGGAATAACTTACTTTAGAAATATAGTGGGATTTAAGTTTGTTCTTGTCAGTAACATACTCGCATACCACAGCGGTTCCTTGGTTGGGAGAAAAAAAGGAGGTGGAAAACCTGGGAATTTGCTTATCTCAGGGGAATGTTTCACACACGAGCACGTCAACCCCTGCGGATGTTGCAGCAGAAAGAAAAATGTAGAATCATTATTCAGTTAAAGCAGTGTTACTCAGTGTGTGGTCCTCAGACCAGCAGCCTTACCTGGGAGCTTCTTGGAAATGCACATTCCCAGGTCTCCCAAGCAGACCTACTGAATCAGAATCGCAGGGTGGGTGGGTCCAGGTGTCTGTGTTTTAACAAGGTCTCCAAGCAATGTTGGTGACACTAAAGTTTGAGAAGCACTGCCCTAGACTGCTGGTTCTCAAAGTGTGGTCTCCTGACCCATAGCACTATCATCATTGGGGTACTTGTGAAAAACCATCTGAGCCTTTTTTCACTAGCACGTGATGGTAGAAATGCTCCATGGCATTTCAAATGTTCAAGGGCCACAAAGATGGCCAAACTGAACATACAAAATAATGAACTCTTGGCTAAAATTTCTCAGATGCTCATTTCCCAGTCTTAGAACTGGAAAGGACCTACAGAGATCTCCTGGACCTGTTTCCTGTCACTAGGAGTTGATAATAAAACCTTACAGACTGTCAGCATTTCCCTCCCCACTTCTGGTTTAGAACGTTGACTGTTGAATCAGGAACTCTGGAGGTGAGGCTCAGCACTCTGTGTTTTAACAAGCCCTCCGGGCAGATTCACCCTCCCATTTGAGGACCACTAGACCACAGTTCCCATCAAACTGCCCACATGCATGATCACCTTCCCCCCATTGCTGGCTGAGAAGTGCAGCCAGGAGGCAGAAACTCGGCCCAGTAACATGACCATGCTTGCATCCTGGTAGAGAAAACGACATCTACTGTGACCTCTTGTGTTGAGCTCACCTAGCCCCCAGCTCCATGGAAAGTGCATCCTCTTTTCTCAGTTCACTCTGTGGTAGCCCTGGCTAACAGGTGTTATTTTCCTCCAAGGTCTTTGGGCCTTCAATGTGAAGAACTCTTTAGTGATGGAGATGATCGATGCAAGAAAGATAAAGACAGAAGAAGGTAAGGCTTGGGGCCTTAGCAATGGGAGCTCCTGCTGCGAGCTGAGAGCGAAAGCTGAGAGATCTGGGGTGGGAAGACATAGAAGTGGGGCTCAGGGCGGCCACTCTTGTTACAGAGGTAGAGAGTATACAGCATGCTGGGGAGATGAAGGAGAGATGCTGCTCATTTTGTTCCAGACAAGTATAGTTTCACCTCTGCCAGATAAAAGCAAATGCTTTAACCTGCAAGATCTTTGTATTTTTTTTTAAACTTTATTTTTAAGTAATCTCCACACCCAATGTGGGTCTTGAACTCACAACCCCTAGACCAAGAATTGCGTGCATACTCTACTGACTGAGCCAGCCAGGCGTCCTGAGATCTCTGCATTTTGCATTTGCTTGGAGGAGACAAAGATGAATCATCAAGTCTGCACTTGGAAGCTTCGATGTGCATTTTTTTTTAGTGAGAGGTGATGTCACACATCTTGCCTTCCTCAGGCAGAAAAATACACAACTCTTGCAGGGAGATGAAGTCTTTCCCAACACATTCTTTTTTTTTTTTAATTTTTTAAAATTAACATATAATGTATTATTTGTTTCAGGGGTACAGGTCCGTGATTCATCAGTCTTACACAATTCACAGTGCTCACCATAGCACATACCCTCCCCAAAGTCCATCACCCAGCCACCCCATCCCTCCCACCCCCCTCCACTCCAGCAACCCTCAGTTTGTTTCCTGAGATTAAGAGTCTCTTATGGTTTTTCTCCCTCTCCAGCTTTGTCTTGTTTCATTTTCCCTCCCTTCCCCTATGATCCTCTGTCTTGGTTCTCAAATTCCTCATATCAGCGAGATCATACGATACTTGTCTTTCTCTGACTGACTTATTTTACTTAGCATAATCCCTCTAGTTCCACCCACGCCATTGCAAATGGCAAGATTTCATTTTTTTGATGGCTGCATAATATTCCATTGTATATATATACCATATCTTCTTTATCCATTCATCTGTTGATGGACATCTAGGCTCTTTCCATAGTTTGGCTATTGTGGACATTGCTGCTTAAACATTGGGGTGCAGGTGCCCCTTTGGATCACTACTTTGTATTTTGGGGGTAAATACCCAGTAGTGCAATTGCTGGATCGTATGGTAGCTCTATTTTCAACTTTTTGAGGAACCTCCATACTGTTTTCCAGAGTGGCTGCACCAGCTTGCATTCCGACCAACAGTGTAGGAGGGTTCCCCTTTCTCTGCATCCTCACCAACATCTGTCCCCAACACATTCTTTACTGACAAATCTGTCCCTAGACAATCTCCAGCTCCTAAATGTCCACAAGGCAGCCTGGGAATAACTGTATAATCTGCATTGTCTCTGATTATCCCCAGTGATAACGTTTTTCACTGAATTTAGGTTGAAGATGGCAAGATCAACCTTTTAACTTCCTTGCCTCCCAAACCCCTATTGAAATGATCAAAGTATGCACCATTTGAGAAAACAGGGAATGTAGCACCACCAGGAGCGAAATCGTGAAGCATTTCTGCTAGACAGAGTGAAGTTGCAGAGGGAAAAAGGAGGGACTGACCTGCCCATTATTTGGTATCTACAAAGGAAGATGTTTGGTAAACTCATGAATAGAATTTTCTAGTAAAGCCTCCCTACCCCAAATACCCAAAACTTCTGGCCAGCACTATAGTGAAAAGCTTATGGATTTCTGAGCCCGTTAGATCCGAATTCAAACCCACCATTCCCTAGTTATGCAAGCTAGTCAGCCTTGGTCTCATTCTCAGTTAACTGGGGGATTAAACAAAACAGTACAGGAGAGGAGACATAGCCAAAATGTTCATAGTTACCATTTACTGATTATTACATGCCAGGTACTGTGCTAAAAGCTTTACATTTCCTTTAACCCACAGAAGGCTCTATGAAGTTGATTATATTCTAACCGCGATTTTACACATAAGGCAACTAAGGTTTAGAAAGGCTAAGGGGTTTCTCAGGTTCACGGCGATGGTGTGGGTATAGAAGGAATTTGGACTCAACCAGACTAATTGCATAGCCCATGCTTTCAGGCCCTAAGCTGAACTGTTCCAAGCCCTTAAAATATATCGCTTTATTTAATCCTTACAATGGCCTCCTGGTAGCCATTTTTGTTGGTGGAAAAGAAATAGAAGTCCAGAATGTAAACAATTTAATATTAAATAAAGATCTAAAGCCAAGCCTGCTGGACTCCCAAGTTCCCTGCTCTTTACCACCATGCTGTTCCTTTAATTGATATACCCCATGGAATGTCATTCTGTCTCCCAACTTTGGTTTTGGTTTTATTCCCACTGAATACAAGGGGTGTTAAGGCCAATTATGTGCGATGGGGAAAAGTTCAAAATGTGGTTCCAATACCCTCCAATTCTTCGAAGAACTGGATCATTGTAGGCAAGCGCCTCTAAATCACCTGTATTTCTCTTTGCTGGTAGAACTCACAGAGAACATCGGGCTTCCCCTGAACATGCTTGAGAAACACAACCCTTGGCCAGCCTATGTCACATATGTGTCCCCGATGGTGAAAAGACTCATTGAGAAAAGCAAAGCTAGAGATCTGGAATGCATGCAAGCACTCGAGGAAAGCCAACGGACATCGAGGCAGAGCAAGCCAGCCAGCATCACGCAGCTGAAAAGGAGAAAGTCATCTAAGTGCTCTGGAAACTTGGTGTTGAAGGACTCGAGGTCAGAGACCATGTTATCGGTGTGGAGCTCATACTCCATGCCGGCCATGGGTCCTACCACTATCCCAGAGCCAAGGCACTTTCATACGGATGCCAGAGAAAATCCTACTGCAAACTATAACAAGATCATCTTCTCTCGAAAACCCATGATGAGGATGCTTCCATACAGCTCCCTTCTAGCCAGCAAGGAGAAACATTCAAATATTTAGCAGGGACTCCCTGCAGTCATCCCCCCCACCCCCGCTCCTCCGCCCAAGATTGTACAGCAATTAAGCTCCGTTTGCCGCAAATTTCACTATGTCCTTTAAATGTGAACTTGCCCCTGCTTGTGCAGAGGTTGGCTTAGATAAACCAGATCTGAATGTGGGCTGTGGGTGGGCAGGTATATCCCCTCCAGCATCATAGTCAGATGGGGTTGGGAAGCCCCACACTCTAGTTCCTGCCATAGATGCTTAGAACCTAACTGAGGGTGAATGAGTCCCAGTCCAGGCAGGACACAGAAATCACTCCAATTACTATGCCAGAGATAATCTGATAGAAAGAATTTCTAACCAGGTAACTGAAAAGGTGGGAAGAGAACCCAAGGGTATTAGTGGAGGTAGCCACCTGCAGGAAGCAGGTTTCCCAAGGCTGGGGGAACAAAGGTGAGATATTGGACTTATTAAAAGTTAGGCACTTGGAGAAGAGGCATGTGGGCTGAATCTCAGATTTCTGAGACTGGGCGGGGTGGGTGATGCTCCTCAGCTGGTTCTGGTGTCCCTGAGCTCAGAGGAAATTTCCAGTGGGGATGGTACCTCAGTCTCTGTGGAAGGGAAGCTCTTTGGCTGAGGTTGGTTCTGTGATTGTTGAGAAAACCAAAAACTGGACTGAAATGCTTCTGGAAGGAATTGACCCCGCCTGAGTGGACAAGAAGCGTTGCCAGTGGAAACAGACAGGGACAGGAAGCCAACAGAGGGTAAACAGGAAACAAACCTAGAGAGAATTCCTTCGTCTTCTTCCAGCCTCATAGCTCCCCCCTGCCCCATATCTCCTATGGGCAGAGCCTCTCAGGGAGGAAAGCAGGAATGTGGTTTGCGGAATCCCAAACCCCAACATCTCAGCATAGGATAAAAGGATAGACTTGAAGCCAAACTAGCATGGTGGTGTTCTGAGTAAGCCCACCTTGCTCCATCTGGCACCTGAACTTGGTATTGAAATGTTTTCTCCTTGGTGGGTTTACAAAGTGGCAGTGGGAGTGTGAGTGTCCCCTGCTGAGAAATGGAGGATTTCCTCCCCTGCACTAGTTTAAGGCTTGCCTTGTGGAGCAGAATTGGCAAGGGAGAAGTTCTTGGCTGGACCCCAGCTGTTATTCGTCAGACCACACTCAGCACTGGTCCATCCGTGCTCTGGGCAGTTCCCAATTGGCCCCAAAGCAAGTGATGTTAAACTTAGCCTCAAAGCGGACAGGCTTTGTCTTTAGATGCAAGGGGAATCTGGTTATGACAGGGAGACCTAGCTGGTCTCACAATTGGAGTTTATCTATTGAGGATAGCATGGCTCCATTGGTAGCTTTTCTTTGACTTCACCTGAATTTCTGTGTTTATATTCATGAAGCAGTCAATACCCATCTTGCTTCCCTCAGAGAGATGTAGAGGATGTGATGGGCAAGTTGCTGTAAATGCCATTTGAAGAAGTCAAATTTGCCCTACACATGGCATTATTTCCATACAGGAATCTTGCAGCAACTTTGGCACTCACCTCTGTGTGTGAGTAGTGTTGGGACAGCTGCAGAAATTAGGAGCTCTGGACCCATTCCTGGGTTGCCAGCTCTTGGCCAGAACGAATTCTTGCAAAAGTACAGTTGGTTCCAGTGAATCTGAATGACTGTATTTTGTGTCCGTGGATCATTTATAGACATGGAGGCAGGTGATAAATTCCTCCAACAAGAATTTTTATCTCTTCTATCCTTTCATGGGAATTTAAAGCTAGAATATATTTGGAGTAGATTTGGGAGTAGATTTGCCTATTCTGGGAGCACCAGGGATGTCTCTCAGGTTCTCATGAACAAAGTTAGTCCCAGCAAATGTCTAACATTGTTAGAGTTTACGGAGATTAGGGGATTATTTCTTCCAATCCCTTTGAGGGCAGAGCAGTTACTTTTTTTTTTTTTAAGTTTTCTAGGTGTTTAATAGTTTTTTACAAAAGTATCCATATATTCTCTAAATTAAAATGATGGTTTTACAGATAACAGTGTTTAGATTGAGTTAATTCTCAGCCTATTATAACAACACAAGCATGAGTGGAAGGACATTATTAACACCTTATGTTGTGATGAAAATTGCTCGTATCTGGGACTATAGTCCAGACCCACTGCCTCCTAAGACAGTTTTAAGAAAGAAAAAGTCTAATTCCTTTTGAAAGGGGGGACTCTGTTCGAGCCCAAGCTGGGGTTCACAGGCCCAGCCACCATGGGGATTTGACCAGCCGTGATTACATTCGCATGAGCACCGAGGGGGCTCCTGGGAAGACACATTTAACAAGACCAGCTGGACCCAGTAATGAAGCCTCTGTCATTGGGGGAGGGAGGGTGATCCTCAGTAATCCGTGTTGCTTAGATTTGTCTTCTGCTCCAGACCTCCCTGAGCGCGATGAAGGTGGAGACCAGTGAGTCAAACTCCTCCTAAAAGGTTCTTTTGCTAAAACCCTAGAAAGCCCTGAGTATGCACAGAAAGGGGGAGGAGAGCTTCTTGATTTCACAACACCCCAGCACGCAGGGTCCCACTGTCCTGGGTCTGCCAGAGGCCAGTGGATGCTTGGCGGCACCAGCTTTGTTCATGAGAACCTGAGAGGTATTCCTGGTGCTCCCAGAATAGGCGTGCAGCCCTTCCGGGGGCTGAAATCTGAGCCGAGCAGGTGGGGCATGGAATGGAATGGATTCTTCGAAGCTGGAGGGGTCTGGGCTATTCCAGTTCCTCTGAACATATTGAACTTCCATCTCTAAGAGGGAACTAGCTTTCTCTGATGTTCCACAGATCACAGCCTCTTATTTATCTCTTCAGCATCTGGAATTATTCTGTTTGGCAGGAGAGCTGTTTCACTTAGTCTCCCTGCCGTGGTAGGTTTACGAAACACCCGAATCTGTATTTTGTTGGCCCTTCTGCATTGCTCTGTAACCAAGGCCTCCTTCTGACACATACTGAGTAACTGTTTTTGAACAAATTCTTTGGCTCCTGCTCACAATATGGTATTTACCCATTTGCAAATTCCACCGTTGGTGTTTAAACAGTAATGCTTGACCTCGGCCGCTGGTCGTTTTCACTCTGGTGGGTCTGTAAGGACATCAGATAGTCCCGCGTGCTGCAATGTCTCAGTCATGGCCCGGACGCACGTCTTGAAGATTAGGCTGCTTGGCAGATAAGATCCTCCCAGAAAGCCCTCCAGGAGGTTAACTGCATAAACCTGCTGGTGCAGGTGCGTGCAAGCCAGATGTTTGGGGGTGGCCTGGGAGCTCTCTTACTGGAATGGGAGGCCTGGTGGGACCAAGACAGAGGTGCCTTCCATGAGTGGTGGACTTTATTAACAGCCCATGTGACTGGCACAACATGAGCAGCTAATCTTCCTTTTCTTGACCCAAGGTCCTCATGTAGGAGTCACAAAGACCTCACAGTGATCCCCTTAAGTCATTTTGTTAGGACAGGGAGAACAAAACACGGGTACCCTGAGGTAAGGATTTTGACCCTTGGGCTTTGATAAGGGTCCTCAGAGGTAGCCAAGAAATTCCACGGAGCAGGGGATACAGCACAGGAATCCCAACCAGGGACGGACAGTGTGTGTGTGGAGACAGAAAACCAGAAGCAGCAGGAATCCCAGGCCTGTAGCCTTGCTCCATGTGTCAACAGAGGTGGTAAAATGGTCATAAAAGTGCTTTCTTTGTGAGATGTGTGCGAGCAAAGGGATGCATCTAGACAATGTGGCTCTTTTCAGTGTTGGCTGAGTCATTCATTCCTAGAAGCTTTCTGGTAGCCCCACCCTTCTCGAGAGACTGCACATTTTCAGAGCCTGCACTTTATATTGGTGCCAGATAAGAGAGGACAGAATGAGAGAGTGGTGGGGGAGGAGGTGGGGAAAGGGGAGGGAGTAAACAGGGACCTGAGATATGCTGTGATCCCGTGTCCTCAGAGCCCGGACTGTGAAGCTCAGGCCTGGGTTTATGTTTGTCACGCAATCCAGAAATCCTTCCCCGTCCTCCCTCACCACCCCTTTCCCCATCCCAATCTCTTACTTGGTATCCAGAGCCTCAGCCAGCTACTTATAGTGTCCCAAACCTGTCAGGGATGGCTGGGTTGCGCCTATTTCTGGAGTGAACATGCATGTGTGATTTCTCTGGGGCTTTGGGGGTGGGGTGCAGTCAAGGCCAGCAGGGATGCAGGAACACCTCAATTTTAGGTGAAACCCACTGCCACCCCCATATTCTGTGCCTTGATCCCAACCATGACCCGATTTCCATATGGGGCAGGGCAGAATAAACAGTGTCATGAAAAAGATATTGGTCTTGGTGTCGAGACCCCCATCACTTCTCCCAGGCTTTCTATTCTAGGGCAAATAAAAATTCCCACCCCACCGGAAGCCCTTCTAGGAAGGATGTGCCCTTCCTTATAGGATATTTGAGGGCCAAGAGGCAGTTTCTTAAAACTGAATGTCTGGTGGTTCTGTTTAACGACCAACCCATGACTATATGATGGAATTCCAAGTGGACCATATTTTTTCTCTAACCTTTGTCAGAAGGGACGCAATTTCACAGACCTACCTCCCCCTTCCCCTCCCTATGTTTGCAGCCATGCTGATGGGCAGTGAGAGCTTGCTTTTCCAGGTGCCATGCTGGGGTCCCAGCTATGAACATGGCACCCTCAGGCTTACATCTGGCAGTGGACACAGCGGACAATCACAATCACGGTGCACGTTATAAAGAAGCCTGAGCTTCAGTGACAACATACTTGCTTTAGGCTCCTGACATGTTCCCTCCAATCTCATGAAAACGAGATTATGGAAAGAGGCAGGATTAGTATCAGGACAGCTGCTCATTAAAAAAAAAAAAAGTGAGGTCATGGCAAATTTTTGGCGAAGTTGCATTTTTTTTTAGTGGCCTGGTGAGTTTCTCAAACTTCCCAAAGCTGCCTCCAGTTGATGCTTGGCCCTCAACTTTCATGTTTGTTTCTGTCGCACTGTGGAGCTGTCATCCAGCTCAGGCATGTTTCGGGGTCGGGCCTCTCCCTCTCGACCCCTTGCAGCAACCCAGACACAGTGCCCACGTTTGCACACTGCTTGTCCCAGCACACTCACTTCCTGCCCGTCTTTCTGGCCTGGAGGACTGGGCTGGGCAGCTTCAAAGGAGACCTCAGGGCTCCCTTACTGTCCCCACCAGACCCCAGGCCAGGGGCCAAGCTCAGGCCTCCAGCATTGGCCCTTGGCCCACTGGGTCTGAATGCAACTTCCCCAGGATTCTAGAGCAAAAGGATCAGGTCCACCTTTCTTCTTCTCTACGACAGACAGCGCTGCTTCCTATCAGCTTTTCCAGGTTTTTGTAGGCCCCTGTGTGGATTTGGGGCAAGGGGTGCATTTCGACCCAGGGAGAAAGTAATGTGCTGTTTCATGGCTCTCCCTGCTTGCTCTTACTGTCTCCTTCCACCCTCTGGTTGTACCCATATAGTTCCTCTCTTGCTCCCATCTCTTCCTCCCTCCACTTGCTTCCCTTCTGTTTGATCTTCACTGTTATTTATTTAGTCATTTCCAAGTTAAATGATGCTTGTTTTAAGTGAATCAGGCTCCCTGAAGCAGAAGTGACCAAGATGACCTTGAACTCATGAACTTTGGGAGAAGCATGTCCCTTTAATGTTCAGATACCGGGAGTCTGAGCCTCCAACCTGAGGACAGCAGGAAGTCCCCAGGTACTTTGTGGGGGAGCTCTGAGGAATGCTTGCATATTCCACAAAACCTTCCTTGTAGCCACCTGTCAGTCTGGCCACCCGTCTCACCCCAAAAGCATTGCCTCAAGGTCCTAGGTCAGTGCTGTCTGGCTTCTTCCCAACCTAGCCTTTGGGGGTCCCTGAAGCCTCTTGAAGCTCAGCTCTGCCCAGATGGTAACAGTCAACAGGTCTGCTCTGAAGACTTGGGATCACAGAAGCACGACAGAGTAAATAGCAATTGCTCCCAGAAGCATCTACTTTGGGGGGCCTAGAAGTCTCAGTCTGATTTCTGTTCCCTGGTGAGGGCCAGCACAGCCTCCAACACGGATCTCAGTGCATCTTCGTTAACTCACAGTCCAGGCCCAATTCCACCTTATTCCTGGAGGTACAAGAACCATCTCCACCCTACGTCTCCCCCCCAGCCCCCCTGCTGGCAATAGCAAACAAAATTGCCACCGGGAATACCAACTGCCTCATTCATAAGATAAGGTTTAGTTTTTCTGGCCTGGAAAAGACAATCAAATATTCAACAGAACATAGTGCGTTTGGGACTTCAGAACTCTTCAGCAGAACAAAGGGCTTTGTCTTGCCCTCTTTATGGTCCTGCTTCCAGAGTGTGGGGAAGTTATACTTTCTGACGTCCAAGAGTGAGTAGCTCTTGGACAGAGCACATACTATAGCAACCACTCCACCCCCATGACCATCACCTTCACCATCACCACCACCATCACCAGCATGACCATCACCACCATCATCATCACCATGACCATTACCTTCACCACCACCACCATGATCATCACCTTCACCACCATCACTACCACCACCACAAACACCACCATGACCATCACCTTCACCATCACCACCACCATCACTACTATGACCATCACCTTCATCATCACTACCATGACCATCATGTTCATCATCACCACTACCATCACCACCATGACCATCACCTTCACCATCACCACCACCACCATGACCATCACCTTCACCATCACCACCACCATCACCAGCATGACCATCACCACCATCATCACCACCATGACCATCACCTTCA